ATGTCCCACTGGACAGCTTTAGCCAGGAACTGTACAGAAAAGGGAGTTTTCAGGCAGTAGAGCCACGTGGGCAATAGACAGCCCAGCTTAGAATCTTCAGTCTAAAAGAAGAAATTTCCTAACTGTGGCCTCTCACAGGGCATTAAAGACCTAGGGCACTGCCAAAGGAAAGAAACGACTTCAATGTGTCCAAGGCCGAGGGGTACGGCTTGAAGAAAGAATGAACACGTGGGTGTATGCCCTGCTAAAAGGAAAGATCTAGAAGCCCTGATCTCCTGATTTGTTTCTCTGCGGTTACTCAGTTATGGAAGATGGGTAAATAGTGAAATGTTGTAAATAGAAAAAACAGCTTTATACTGAATGCGATGCTGGTCATGACACCCCAGCAAGGAATGTACTGAGCAGTTAAAAGTGACTTTACCTTAAAGTGACAGGTACACAGTGGAAATTCCATTAGGACAGTTTTTAACCTATTAGTAAAACACTATAAATTCACTGTGATTAGTTGATTATTTGCTAGCGGAACGGGTACAACAGCTTTATGAAAAAAATCCTAGAAAATGTATCAGTACTGCATGGGGTAGTTTGGTCAGTGGGGATCCTGCCTTTGAGGGGATTCTGAGCACGCCTGGAGGTGCATGTGGCAGGGACGCACACAGCACATCCACACAGGGCCTTGGGGAGCACTTGTAGGAGGAGGGGACGCCCAAGCGGGGACCTGTGTGATAAACAGGAGCAAGATGGACGGAGGAAGAGGAAGGGTGTGCTTCGTAAAGCAGCAGGAAGGAAAGCTGGTGCGGGTCTGCCTGGCTGTGGAGCCGAAGGTGGGTACCGGGAAGGCCTGGAGGAGGTGCCAGAGTGGGGGCGGGGGAATGTTCACAGTGGGGCTGTGGGCTCCCACAGGGACCAGACCTCAGGAAAGGAAAGTCCTCACCCAGCCAAGTGCCAGCGTCCCTGCATTCACTGGGCCCAGGCACAAAGAGGACGTCGTACCTCACTCAGGCTGGAAAACACACCGAGCCCATGAGGCGTTAGGCGGCCTCGTCTCAGACAGCAGAGACTGATTTTACAGCAATAGCTATGAGAAGTGTCAGGTTTGATTCACGTGTTCTAAAAATATTTTATAAAAGCATAAAAAATGGAAAACTGTCGGCGTTCTACTCTCGCCTTCCATAAGTAATTACTGAGCACCTGCTGTTTGCCCTGCATGATTCTAAGTGTGGGATACAGGGAGGAGCAGAACAAAGCTCCTGATCTCACGGAGCTTGTAAGTGGAGACAGACAATAAGCAAATGAACAGGGAAACATACCACACGATTTGGGGCCACCCACTGCAGGGGTGCCCACAGCCCCACCTTGGTGGGCTCCTGCAGTGCTAGGCCCAGCTCCCCACTTCTAGACTTTGACAAAACGCAGGACTCTGCAGTGTGGGGTCTGCTTTTCTATGTTGCCTGCAGAAGACCCTTATGAGTGTGGGGAAAGTTAGTTCCAGGCATGTGAGAGAAAGCTGCAGGGAGTTGATTGAATCTAGAAAAATGGGCCAAAATGAGTGGGCATGGGACAACATTCTACAGAAGAGGGGCAGAGAAGGTGTAGGAGGCTAAAACAAATGCAAAAACCAACAGATGGCCAGATGTAGGAGCAAAGCCAAGTGTTGTAGGGCCTGAGGCTGATCACAGCTCAGGGACTTCTTTAAGAAAAAAATACAAAATCAAGAATAAAAAATTAGGTACAAAAATAAAAATTTATTTAAAGTGAGAAATGCATCCTAATACATTACAAACTTTAAAATCTAACAAACACCATGAACTTCAACAAAATCCACAGGAAAACCTAATAACTTAATCAACAGCTTTACACACCCCTATGACATTATTTTTCTCGTGTTTTATCTGCACGCCCTATGATCACTACTTTAGGTTTGTAATATACCGTCTATAGGAAGAAAAGGGAGGTCCTTCACCCTCAGGCGAACTTGCTCTTGGTGATGCTACCACGGGTTTGAGTCTTTTTTCTTTTCCTTTTTTTCATGCTCAACTCTTTAGGGTTGGCTTCCCCACTGTGCAGGTTTGTGTCTTTACACACATAGGAATTCAGATCATTTCATTTCACGTGATTCCCTCCAAATATGTGTGGTATATTTAGAGTATGTTCCTTGACCAGGTGTGGCTGAGAGAGCCAAACCCTCCCTAACAATGCTGGTGTTTTATGATGGAAAGAATTTCTGCAGACTGGCTTCCGGCCCCATCCATCTCAAACTCTGCTACTCCTTTGCTCTGGGAGCCCTTCCAGTGCTGGGGCCATAGGACAGTTGAGGTGGACACCCCTGTCACTCCCACAGAGGGCAGGAAGTGTCACTGGTAGCCACCCCTACACCTGGCTGGCTAGAATGACACAGCTGCACGGAAGAACTGTGAACCACACAGACATGTCCCATCAGGGCCAGGGAGAGGCAAGCCAGGTGCCCACAGCTCAAGGGGGTGGGGCGGTTTCAGGGTCCCGTGGAGCAGCACCGGCACCTGCCTGGCCCTGACGGTAAGGCTGCTTTAAGTTGTGCACCCTCGGCACCTCTCCTATCTCACCTCATCCTGGCTCTGTGTCCCATTAAGCCCAGTGGAATGTCTCCCCAACTCCACTCTCTTTGGCTTGACCCCCAGAATGTTCATGGCCATGTCACAGCCATTCAATATGAGGGGAAGTTAGAGTCGACAGAGTGGACTTAACTGGTGGTGGTTAAAATATATTCTCTGCAAAATTCACAGAAACGTAGTACCATGAGTTCAATTGCTGGGTCCCCAAGGCCTGGGAGGGCGTTCTTTGCAAGTGAGGGGCCTGGGTCCAAGCTTGTAGCCTCTTGATTATGGATCTCTCCATTCCCGCCATGGCGGCCCTTGCACATCTGAGCTTGTCGCTGGCCTGTTTCTGCCTTCAGGACGTTGTCTGGGTTTGGATCCCTGCACTTCACTTATTAGCTTGTGGAACCCGAACCCGTTGCTTAATACCTTGGTGCCTCAGGTTTCCACATCTGTAAAGTGGGTTGATTAAATGTTAAGACGGAAGGAACTGGTTAATGCGGAGTTCTCACGACAGTGGCTGGCCCGTCATCAAAGCTCGGTGTTTATTACCTACTGTTCATATTACTAGTATGTGGCTGCTGTTCTCACCGCACTGTGAGCCCCGAGGGGCCCCAGAAGGGGCGTCCGTCTCCCGAATGGCCTGCTGACCACCGGCAGGAGGAAGGCAGGGAGGGGACGGAGGCAACGACGAAGGGACAATTAAGTCAACCTAGGGACGGGGCTCTGAAGAAATCCGCTGGCCCGTAAACGCCGAAAGGTCCACGCGGCCGGGGCCTTCTGCTCCAAAGGAGACATCCCCGACGGGCTGTCCTCGGGAGGAAAGGTCGGCTGCTGCTCCGGTCCGGTCGCGTTCAGAGGACGTGCGGCAGGACCCCGCACTTCCTCCGGGGCGGCCTGCGGCGGGCGGACGCGCAGGGACGCGGCGCGCCGGCGGGGG